CTTTCCGCAGGAAAACCGCAGCTCGATGCCGGCAGCGGCGCTTTATCCCGAGCGTCGCGAGGCCGACGGAGCGCCGAGTTTCCCGGCGGGAAGCGAAGGGGATGGCGAGGATCCCCCCCCGGCTTTTCCAAGCCGGCACGCGGCCGTTGCCGGCGCTGAGTCAGCACCCGAGCTGCTGAGTCACCCGCGCCGCCTCCGCGCGTTCCCCGCGCCGCTCCGGCCTCTCCTTTGGGTTTTCCCGGCTCGGATGCCCATTCCGGGAGGTTTGCCGAGCTTTTTCCCAGATCCCAGAGCTGTCGATGCCGCTCTGGCAAACAGTGCAGGGAAAAGCCGCCTCCGGGACATCCCGGGATGGATCTCGGCTCTAACGGCACCGCGAAAGCGGCTCCGAGCACCTGCTGCAGGAACCGCTCCAAAATCGCCCCGTTTTGCAAGGTTCCGCGCGACTTCCCCGGCAGAAATCGCGCACGGATCCAAAATCACCCGGATTTGCAAGGTTTTGCACGGCTTCCCCGGCAGAATGCACGCTCGACGCCAAAACCACCCGGTTTTGCATCGCTTCCCGGGGCAAAAATCATGCCTGGCTCCAAAATTACCCGTTTCTGCATTGCTTCCTGGGGCAAAAACTTCCCCCTCGTCTCCAAAATCACCTGGATTTGCCCGATTTTGTGCTGCTTCCTCAGCGGAAATTGCACCCGGCTCCTAAATCACCAATTTTTGCATCACTTCCTAGGGCAAAAATTGCACCTGGTGCTGAAATCACCCAATTTTGCGGGGTTTTGCACCGCTTGGAGGCAGAAACCGCACCCGGCTCCAAAATCACCCGTTTTCCCAAGGCTTCTCCATCACTTCCCCACCTTTTCCCCAGCCTTTCCCGCCACCAGCCCTCGGGACAACGGGAGCCTTTCAATTCGCACTTTGCACCCCAAAACACCCCAATTCTCTCCAGATTCGCCCCTTTCCCAGTGGAATAAAACCCACCCCCCAGGTAATTTCCACGTTTTTTTTTTTTGCTTTTCTCCCCGCATTCCCCGCCGGGGCAAATCGCGGCGCTTCCCGGCGCTTCCCGGCGCATCCCGGCGCGGAGCGGGCGGATCCCGATCCGCGTGCGCTCCCCGCCGCGCGGAAGGATTTAGGGGCGGATTTTTTTCTTTTTTTCCCTGCAGGATCTGCCATTTTAGCTGGAGCGAGCGCTGCGGCCGCCTCCGCGCGCGGCCGCTCCGAAGTTTTTTCCGCGCGGAGCTGACGCCGCCTCCCCTCGCGCGCGGGGATGGGGAGGGGGGATCCTGCTGGGGGACCGGGACAGGTTGTGCCGGTGGCGGGGGGACAAGGACAGGGATCCCGAGGCAATGGGGACTCTGGTGCAATGGGGACCCTGGTGCAATAGGGACGGGGACCCTGGTGCAATAGGGACCCCGGTGCAATGGGGACCCCAGTGCAATCGGGATGGGGATCCCGGGGCAATGGGGACCTCGGTGCAATGGGGACCCTGGTGCAATCGGGACGGGGATCCCGATGCTGTGAGGACCCCGGTGCAATGGGGACTCTGGTGCAATGGGGACCCCGGTACAATTGGGATGGGGATCCCGGTGCTGTGGGGACCCCAGTGCAATAGGGACCCCAGTGTAATAGGGACAGGGACCCTGGTGCAATAGGGACCCCGGTGCAATGGGGACCCCGGTGCAATTGGGATGGGGATCCCGGTGCTGTGCGGACCCCAGTGCAATGGGGATCCCGGTGTAATAGGGACGGGAACCCTGGTGCAATGGGGACCCCGGTGCAATGGGGACCCTCGTGCAATGGGGACAGGGACCCTGGTGCAATGAGGACCCCGGTGCAATGAGGACCTTGGTGCAATTGGGATGGGGATCCCGGTGCTGTGGGGACCCCAGTGCAATAGGGACCTTGGTGCAACAGGGACCTCGGTGCAATAGGGACCCCGGTGCAATGGGGACCCTTGTGCAATAGGGACGGGGACCCTGGTGCAATGGGGACCCCGGTGCAATGAGGACCCCCGTGCAATGGGGACAGGGACCCTGGTGCGACGTGCACCCCAGTGCAATGGGGACTCGAGTGCCACCCTGGTTGCAACATGGACTGCGGTGCAATGGGGACAGGTGGCAATGGGGACAAGAAGCCCAGTGCAACGGGGACAGGGCCCATGGAGCAATGGGGACCCTGGAGCAATGGGGACGGGCACCACAGCGGGACAGGGACAGGGACTCGGGCACGACAGGGAATGCGGCACAACAGGGAAACGGGGACGGAGCAGACGGCTCCGTCCCGCACGCCGGCGCTCCGTGAGGGCAGACGCCCTCCTCCTCTCCCAAATTTCGGTGCAAATCCAAGAAAAACCCGGTGTGAGAGACGGAAACAGGGAAAAGAACGGCTTTTCCTTTTTTTTCTTTCTCCTTGCACGTCTCCCGACGCTCCCGGCCGTCACCCGCGACAGCAGCTCCGGAGCGCG